AAGAAATGCTATTATATATTATTGGACGGTTCAACTAGGTGTAACTTGATCATAATTACTTTAGTTTTCGCTATCATTGTTATTTTTTTCACTCGTGGTCATTCGTGGTCACTCATTTGTGACTCGTGGTCACTCGTGGTCATTCGTGGTCACTCGTGGTCACTCGTGGTCACACTCGTGTGGAGTTTTAGAACAGATCTCTTCTTGCCTATATATTTCATTCCTAACTCTTGTGTTGAATTATTGATCTTCTGGTTCTGGTCGTTCTGTCACAATTTCGACACCGAATTGATTTGCACTGTGCTGTTGTGTGTACTGGATCAGATGTGGCCTTTTTGATTATCCCTTTCAGTCTCGTGATTAATTGCTCATTATCACTCTCAAAGTAAAACTGAACAACTCGATCTGGGAGGCCAGTGTTGACTATCGTTGCCTTGCACAGCGCAACAACGATATCCCAGTCATTCCCCTTGCACTTTTGGTAGCATTTATAAGACAAACATGCGCTCAAGCTCGCTGACGTTAACTCTCTTTAGATTTTTAAAAAATGAATAAAACACGGACAACATAAGCAGCCAAAATTGCACAAATAAAACATTTGTTTGCTTTTACAAACATTCCAACGTGCACTCTAAGGAAAAACACTTCGKAAGGCGAAAAATCAAAACATTTTTCGTGTCTAGTTTTTACAAACAAGGACAGCAATTTGATACAAGCTTTTCTCATCTTGTAAYGTGTATTARCATAAATTGATCCTCATTAGCATTTTTTATCCGGTTATGTGAAATCGTTCTATTGAGGGAGAATTTCTCAGAGGAGAACTGACATATTCTCCGACGATACCGTGGCGTTATTAAACAAATGGCGGTATCAGGTTAGATTATATGTGCAAGCGGTTTTTGGTGCTCAAATATCAATTCTACTACTTCAAGAACCTTAAGCAGTTTTAATCTGGTTTAAATTTGCTTTTGAATCTTCACCTGATACACTTAAAAACTTCTCAATTGAATGAGCTTGTTGACAATGAAAATATGTGTGAATTGTGTGTACATTCTATCCAAATTAATTAACTTATCTTCTTTGACACTATACTCGGATGTTTTAATTTATAAAATTGAAAATTAAACGAGACTTACCTGTAAGTTGAAGTTTGATGGTAATTCTATGGAGTCATCATGAAGTGTAAAGGGATCACATGAGATAGCACATCTGTTAACATTCCCACCCTATTTATGCTGTTCAGCATTTGCTACGCCTTTAAATATTGACTTATGGGATTGGTATGTGCTATCTCATGGGATCCCTACACTGAATGATGACGAAATAGAACTATGCATTTTAAAAAGAGAGCCTTAATATTTATTTGAATGTTCAGATTTTTACTCTTTAATCTTCAATAAACTCTTTAATAAAAACTGTCAACAAATACAGGAAATATCACGTTTGGATAGGCAGAGAATTTGAGAAGTTGCTTCGTTTATAATCATTATGATCATTATGATTCCTTKGTTTACAAAACTGACAAAATGTATTTATTAGACTAAAGATTTTCCGATGCATCACGGRTACGGCACGGTACGGTCACAGGACGAACGTACCGTGTTTTTTGCACAGTCATACGAAATCCGCTCTATGCGTCTATCACCGGCTTTCCCCTGGGGGCGATCCCCGGGGACCCAGGGGATTTGTCAAAATGCTCCATAAAATGAAATTCCCGTGGGTGAGGGGCAGAATAGGAATGACAAATGACTCCGGGGATTTGAGGGGGATCGATTATCGGAAATCAGAAATGAATTTTTCGAACTGCAACACTCTATTTGAATGCTTTCGCTACATTTTAGGTAATTTAATATTTCCTAAAGTATAAACATGAAATTGAAGCTGGAAATGTTTTCAAGGAAATCTAMGAAAATAAGGAAAATTACCGGAAACTCAGAAATAATAGTTTAATTCGTTGATACTCTTACTAATAGCCCCATAGGTAAAATTCACGATYACAAAAGCAAAATAATCCCCCACTGACCCCCTTGGGCAAAAAAGTGCCTTACAATCAATGAAAAAACCCTCACTTCCYCTGGGTTCCCCAGGGGTCACCCCCATTATCATTTATGCCAGATCACTGTATGTCAAAAATGTATTGATTAGTGTCATTTCTGTGTTATTAAATTATTATAATTACGTATGTTTCCTGTATGATTGAAAAACCACCAAAACTGTCAAATTGCATAAATGACCCATAAATCATATTTTTGATCACTGTATGATTGAAAATTATCAACTGCCAAAATGTATTTATTATTATTTATCATTCCTGTGTGATTAAATAGAGCTAACTCGTGGGATATATAAATTCAAAACTTGAAGTTAAAATTCATATCTTCAAGCGACAGCTGTAATGTTCTGTTTATTAAATGACATTGGTGTAAGCAAAAATCTGTAACATAATCATTAGAAGATCAAAAGATTTGAACATTTCAAGAACAAATTAATTATTAATTTATGATATATCATTTATTATTTATTTATTATTTATGAATACAAAAACTGTCAAAATACATTTATATTATTTTATGATTCCTGTAAAGATTGAAAAATACCAACTATTAAGAATTTACAACAAAAAATTGGAAACAATTTCTATTGACATATAAAGATGCATTTGTTTTATTTTTATTATTTCTGCATGCATGATTGAAAAATTTCAAAACTGTCAAAATGCATTTATTATTAATTTATGATTCCTTTAATGATTGTGAAAAATACCAAAACTGTCAAAATGCATTTAATATTATTTGTAATTCCTGCCTATTGAAAAATGTCAAACTGTCAAAATATATTAATAATTAATATTTTAAAATTTAGGATTTCTGTAATATTATCTAAGGAAGTTTTATTTTGGTAAATTACCTAAATTATGTTTTTAACATTATACATGGTGTACTCTTCAGCACTATCTGAATGCACACAATACCACAAGAATTCAAAATAATTAGTTTTCTTTACACATAATTATATATATCACTTACATATAATAATTGTATATACCATTGCTTTGCATCGACAAAGCTGAAGAGAAAAAGTTTAATAACTATTTCATGTAGTACCAAGGAATTTTTTTGTTAGCAAAAATAAATTAGCCTTGACAAAACATGTAAAAAAATCTGACCAATGTGTCTTGCATCCCATCTTTATCCAATATGCATATCTTTTGGGAGCTCCGMTATTAGGTTTTACCTAATTTTTATATTAGAATTAATTTAGTGATAAAATGTCTTTGTGCGATACGGCTGCCTCACGAATCGATCTCCGATCGTCCAGTCTATATGCCGCCGTCCTATACACCCTTTTAATAAGTCCCGAGGTATTACGTTCTCCGCACTTGACGTCAAATATATTCTTTTGAATTCCTTTTGTATTGTAAAAATTTCAAAAGAATAAATTTGACGTCAAGTGCGGAGAAAGCAATACCTTGGTACTTATTAAAAGGGTGTATACCATTACACTACCGAGTTTCTGATGCAATTCCTAAAAAGATAGCATACTTATCAGGCCTGTAGGCTTCCTTTCAAATAGGGGGCTTCGTTTTTTCATAATGCGGACCTAAATTAAATGTTTAACTAAATAAGTTAAATGCACAGAATAGTGTGTTAGAAATCAAATGGCTGCAAGTATGAGCAGTTCATAATAACTATCTCAAAACAGTTCATAACAAAAGAATTTCAAAATAGAACAAGAGAAAAAGAGAAACACCGGACCTTTTAAGCTTGTGGGGGGTTTGTTCGGTCAAAACAATTTCCTGCAATGCAAATTTTGAAAAATCTGCACTAAAGCTTTTGTAAATTAAAAAAAAAAAAAAAAAATTACATGCGCGCGACTGAAGTCCTAAAAAAATTATCCAACAAAATCTTCCAACTCCCCCTCAAAAGTTAATGGTCCGCCCCTTAACCAATCTAAAATTTTATTTGCGCAGAAGAAGCAAACGATTTAATTMCCAAGCGAAGTCAGTCGTAACTTGATGATAACCTTGATATTGCCCACCGCCTCGTTGCTCCGGCAACCAGACAGAGAGCGTTTGTTGCGGACCTGGAATCATACTGTAAACARCTATGATAATAGGTCGCACGTCTCTTGATCAGAGGAATGAATSGTTTATAAGTTGTAATAAGCCAATCTACTTGAGATTGCAGTTTTGTAATATCTAGAAATGCGGTCAAAATGTGAGAGCCAATACAAATCAATGGACTGGAAAATTCATTAATTCAAATTCAGAAGTTCCACTTATTCTGTATTTGCATAACTTAGCCTTGAGAATAAGTAACTATTATGAATTTCTGGATTTAGATAATATTTTTGTTGGGAATGTATACTTGGGAAATGAAAATTTTCTCTCCGACAGCCTATAGCATTCATGCGGGTTTCCTATGGAATTCTTTCAAAGGTTGTTCATGCATCACGTGATTTCAAGTGGCGCGAAAATTGAAAGCGCGGGCTTTTTGTTTTTATTGTAATCCTCCATCGTAAGCTGTCGTGTGGAAAGGCTTTCTTGCAMATAGTATAAACAATCGTTTTCAATCAGACAAGATTCTGGAGGCATCGAGTCACTAGATACGGCTAGCTTTCAAATCAGTACTTTATCAATTCTTTCAGAGCTAGGTTTATTGTTTATGATCGTACTATTTCTCTGTATTTGGTATTAGAAAATTTAAATCCGATATCACCTCTKCAAACCAATATGGCGACCAAAAGACCTCCACAGTTATCTCATGGCCGTCATCCTTTACGATCGAATTCTCCCCAAAGAAATTCTGTACTGGAAGAATGTAAAGAATACTCTAAAGATGTCTGCAAAGGAAAGGGTAGCGGTGGCTCGAATTTGAAGCCTGCTTTCACACCAGATTCGAGTGTTCACCGAAGCAAAATCGCATCTACAACACAACAATCAAGGCCACAGGTAAATCTGWCGGGAAAACTATTTGATAATTAGATRTACGATCGGAARGAATAATATTTTATTAATATTTTTGTTTTTAGGCCAAAAGAAGGCTTGAMCTCGATGAATCACCTAAGTTCTACGGTTCTAATTTTAAGACACCGAAGGCTCGCGGCGGAAAGAGACGAATTCGACGAGATTCTGAACCATATCCKCATCGTACGTATTTACTAAAGTAATTCACAAATTTAATTAATATTGAATTGAAGTAATTGACAAATTCACGATAATCAGAAGTTTGGAGGAAGTTGCAAGTTTTTTAAGACTACTGATAAAAGGATTCAGCTCCTGATCACGACTTCATTTCTTTGTACAGCGAGAGTTTAAAACTATTAARCTTACCTACTAAGAACTTGAGCTAATATCCTGAAATATATTTTTGATAGCGGTTAGTGAATGTGTAGACCAAAGAGYTTCGATGTTCAACAGTATTTCTCGGTATTATTATTAAGTAAATTGTCTTCAATTTGGCGGGATTTTGGGAGAGTGAACGTGAGAGAAAAAAACAATACATTAGTCAATTTTCTAGAAATTTAGACAACAAAAGCTGGCGTTTGCAAAGATATAGCTTAAATTAACAGTTTTTTCGTTTTCTTGAAAAGATGTCTTTTATTTGACAAGCATGATGATATACATGTATATATAGAATTAATTATTGAGCTAAATTAGTATAAAAATGCAAAATAAATTATTAATATCGTGTTGAGCATGTATTTAGACAATTTAAAAGTAAAATGGATGTTAACTAAAAGTAGCTCTAACGACAACTACCATGATCATACATCTTTGTATTATCACGTTCTTGTGGCCTCTATCTCTTATAAATGCCTTTGCAAGAAATGAAATTTTTGACAAATTGAGGCATGGTGAAGAATAAATATTAATTTAGTTATACACTAATTTGCATGTTAATAACTAATTTGATATTAATTTCCTGTTTAACTTTATTTTCAGTGATTGCAACATCTCCCTTAGAAAAGACACGTTATGATACCTCACTTGGCATTCTCACAAAGAAATTTGTAGGACTTATTCGTGCATCACCTGATGGAGTACTAGACCTGAATCATGCGGCAGATGTTTTGTCAGTGCAGAAACGCCGTATCTACGACATCACCAATGTTCTAGAGGGAATAGGACTTATTGAAAAGAAGTCTAAAAACAACATACAGTGGAGGTAAACTTAATTTAGCATTGGCTTATGCACTTAGGGGATGTAATGCTACAAGAGAGTTAAGTTTAGCATGTGATAGTTGAGTAATCATGCACATGCTGTTTCTCCAGTTGAGTAACTTTGTAGGTGCATAGATTTTTTTAGTTGATTTTACTTTTGTGAGTGACATCAAARCACAACATGAGTGTTTTAAATAAACTTTTGGAAGCTAATGCACAAAATTGTGGAAGCTTTCAAATTTCACACCATTTGAAGCACAAAGTGGCTTGTTCTCATAGTTAAAAAACTTAGCCCTATAAAAGTGTCAATAGAAAAGGTTTGTTTCTTTGTATACTGGTCAATATCTACTTGTAATCTGAGATTGTAACATGTATATTTTGTGAATCATGACTGCAGGAATTGTATGCTATGTATTTTTTCACMAGCAAAAGGACTATGATATTTTGCTGCTTCCACTTCTGATCTGTTGTTATTGAAAATATCCCTTTCCTGCTGCCTGGAATGTAATATAATTGTGTTCTTAAATATCAATCCGTATTGTATGCATTATGTCATTTTTATGATTATACTCACTATTGAATGATGAAGCCCACTGCATGAACTGACCAATTAMTTTAATGTAATGTGAAGTAACACAACCAAAGCTTTAAACCTTTTGTCACAACTTTTTTGTTTCCAGAGGATCATGTATGGGAAGCAGAAGTCGGGCTGAAATAAGCCCTCTGATTATGGATTTACACACTGATATTGCTGATCTAGAAGCCAAGGAAAATCTGTTGGACCATCTYATTGGAAACTGCAGATCTGAACTGAAATTTCTCACTGAAGACCAGGAAACATCTAAATATCCTTTTTTTCAGTAAAGATATGGTGTTATTAAGTACCTTATTATATGTAGATACAGTTATTTGCTGAAATTATGCTGCAGCCACTTATGATTATAAATATTTAATACRTTTGATGTAATGTGGATAATAGATACGCCATTCAAATTACTGCATGAACTGCATGTAAACTAGMCGCTTCCTCCAAATACAGGAGAACAACTGGTCTTATAAAGCTGAGGGGCCACTATCATCCATTCATGTTAAATGCACAGTATCAAGGCRACTGTTGTAATCATCAAAGGAAACATGGAATCTCTACCATTACTTAGCTGATAGAGACTAGAAGAACTCGGAATGATACAATTCAACGCAGACAGTCAATACACCTTATTCCAAAATGGCTGACTAGCCCTTGATGTCTCGTTTTCATGAAATTGTTCTTTTCTTTTAAAGTCACTCAAGCTCAAAGACAAAAGAATAATTTTATGAAAACGAGACATCAAGGGCTAGTCAGCCATTTTGGAATAATGTGTATTCAGAGAACCTACTTACACAGGTATATCAACCATTAACTCACTATAGATATAGAAATCCATCTCCCATTAAAAGCTGATGTCATTCCTGTGACACAAAAACCAAGAAGAGTAGCATACAACTTAATGRATCAACTCAAACATTGCATGAAGGAGTTCGTCGACAGYGACATCATGGAGGAGATTCCAGCACATGAACCTATCACATGGTGCTCACCACTGGTTGTCCAACCCAAACCCAACAAACCAGATGACATAYRAGTTAGCCTGGACTTACGGATGTTAAACAAGTCCATGGAACGCACTAGATATGTACAGGCACCAATAACGGAAGATTTTATAGACAGCTTTAAGGACTGCACAGTATTCAGCAAGCTTGAYATGAGTCATGGATACCACCAGTTCGTGCTTGATGAGGAATCCAGAAAATTAATGACTTTCTCAAGCCCATGRGGAAATTACAGATATAARCGTCCATAATTGTAATCTTAAAGCACTACTACAACGGTTGGAGCAACACAACCTCACACTAAAGAGAGAGAAGTGTCAATTTGGAAAATCTTCCATTGAATTCCATGGCCACTTGTTCACCGCCCAAGGATAAAAGCCCAGCCCTAAGAAAGTAAAGGCATTGCRTGACTGCGAGCCACCACAAACCAAATCAGAGTTAATCTCGYTCCTACAGATGCTTGCTTACTTATCATGTTACATGCAGAATTTCTCAAGCCGCAGTGAACCTCTGCGACGACTAACAAAACAGGAAATACCATTTGTTGTGTAMGAGGAACAGCAGAAGGCCTTTGTAGAGCTCAAACATGCCATTACTACAACACCAGTACTGATACCTTACAAACCAGGGAGAAACAATGGTGATCTGCGAYGCCAGCTCAACAGGACTAGGAGGGGGACTGTTCCAGAAAACTGAACACGGATACCAACCCGTCCATTTTGTAAGCCGAACACTTACAGACACTGAAAGGCGCTACTCCCAGATAAAAGGAGAGGCCCTAGCAACAGAGTTTACCACAACCAGGCTACAGATGTATTTACTAGGCGCACCACATTTTCAGCTAGCTACAGACCATAAGCCATTACTTCCAATGTTGAACAACCCAAGAGCAAACCCAACAGAAACCGGGAAGTGGGACAACGAGGACACTGACTTGTCACCTTACTATGATGTTGTACTCCTTACTATGAAGGTTGTACTCCGAACAGACAAGTTAATTCCACCAGAAAGTCTTTGGAACAAGATCATCACTGTAGCCACACCCAGCTACAAAAGAAATGCCATACAAGCTAATGATGAGCAGAACAGTCAGAACATGTCTAGACCATTTCCCAACAACATAACCAAAGAGAAATCCAAAGTAATGACAGGAGATACAAAGAAAGGTGTAAGCAATACCACGAAAAAAGATACAGTGCRTCAACCCACAACATGCAAGAAGGTGATGCAGTAGTTGTAGACAMTGTGTATGAACCAAGCATATACATAGCCACAATTATCAAGGGATCATCCATCATTGCAAGACGTCTAAGTGATGGAAAGACCATTTGTAGAGATGCGTCAAAAATCAAAGCCTTGAAATTGGGACTGAAAGAGCAGGCTGAAGACAACCCTACACCACCAGATATGCTAGCAATCGCACCAACATATGCTCAAGCTACTGCAACTACCAGACCTACCAGAGGAATTGCCACTCCATCAAAGAACCAGCACTTCCACAACCACTCAGAAGGTCACAAAGACAGAGGASGTCTACCTTTGATACCTACCTTAGAGGATTCACAGATAACTGATGAACATTGAAAGAAAACATTTACTCTAAGAACACTGATAAGTTACTGTTGAACTAAAATTTTGAAATCAAAAATTATTGTGAATTAATATTTCATGAATGGCTAAATTTATATTCMAAAAAATTAATTATTATTAATAATGTATATGATTATTTCTGAAAGGGGAGGAATGTAGTAATGTACATAGTAATGTGATTGGTTGATTATAAATTGTAAYATTATATCCATGTAATATGATTCATATACATGTGGAACAAGAAGTACACAGAGACTTTACTAGTAGATATAAGATACTACAAGTGGCATTAAAACAAGGGAACTGTCAATAAAAAWTGTTTAAATTTATGAATATTTCTGCAAATTATAAGCCAATGTAAAAGCACAGTTCAAAGAAAACATTTTCACACACATATGGAATTGAAAGTATAACCTGTAGATGCTGGTGTACTAGTGTTACAGTGTAAGTCACATCCATCAAATCTTATAAAAGATATTGATGAAATAGCATCAATGAAATTTGATKAAATCTTTTTTTTTCTTGTACGGATTCACCTAGTATGTGACTCACTGATTGATCCTAGGTAACTACATTGTCATTAAGACTAAAACGTATTAAGGTATGGTCAGCTTAATTACCATGTGTTGTGTAAAGTTCTTTGACTATAATTAACACATCACTAATCAACGTTTCCACTGCCTGATCAATATGTCATTTATGCCAGATACAAAGAATGCAATTAGRATTTTTTTAAATCTGAAATGTGTGAAGTTTTCTTTAACAATTTTTACATTTGCATATGTAACCTATCGGGATATTCGTGATATMAGAAACTTCAAAGAGCAAACTGTTATTGCTGTCAAAGCTCCACCTGAAACTAGACTTGAGGTACCTGACCCTAATGAGGTAAGATCATATAGCTTTAGTTATGTACATAATGTATTATACCAAAAGTGGATGCCTTCTTAAAATATGTGAATTCTTGATATCCAATTGCTAAATATGATATCATCATACCTTTTCTTTCTCATATCTTTTTCTATTTTATGTTTTTAACCCTTGAGGGTTACATGTAGAAAAGAGGGCAGAGCTCTCAATCAAAAATTCTAAAAATGACCCCTAAWAGGACCTGTATTGATCACATATGGCATGAACGAGGGACACAATTTTTTTCTTGGTTTGCTCTTGCAAAACAAGTAAGACACTATATTTCCTTACTATTGGGTGCTACAGTATAGTGCAATATGTATGTCCTCCCTTGTCAACWAAACAACAAGCAGAACACAGCAGAAAGAAGAACAGGACAGGGAGAAGAACAAGAAAGGGATAAGAACATCATAGTGAGACCAACAATACAGTGAGCTATCCAGCAGGTTCGCGAACAGGACTTATACATGTACACTATCAAGACAGCAACAAAACTGCAAGACCAACGAAAAAAAGCAACACAAATGAAACACCAAGATCAACAACACAACAAGACAGATAAACAGTGTGATAAACAAAACAGCAAGACAACAAGACAGACATTCCAATATTTTTCAAAGTTGTAGGAAAAAATAATATACTATCCAATCAATTATTTTTTATTTACACAAGGTTTCCCTGTGGGCTTAATTACCTTTTGTGTTTCTCCTTTCCATTGATTTACCACCACACAGGAAAACCACAAACTCTTTTATAACAGTGGCTTTAAAATATATATTTTGCATAGCCACAAATAGCATGTTCATATTGCTGTGCTGTCCATCTAAATAGCGATCTCAGCCATCTCAAGACCTGGCTACATGCCAACAGACTTACTCTAAACATCAAAAAATCTAAATTTATGATTGTTGGGGGATCACAGAGGCTTAAGTCATTTGCAACAATTAGTTTATCCATTAGTGGATGTGACCTTGGGAGGGAGACTTGCTACAAATATTTGGGAATAGTGATTAATGAAACACTTAACTGGAGTGACCACATAGACTATCTTAATAAGAAAATGGGTAAGAGACTTGGGATGTTCAAACGCTTAAAGCACCTGCTCCCTCTCTATTCAAGAAAGCTTGTTGTGAACAGTTTGATGCTTCCACTTCTTGATTATGGTGACGTAGTCTGGGGTGACAGAATAACATCACCCAGATGAACTCTCTCCAACTAATGCATAATGACTGTTCTTGACTTACTGAGTTCCGAATCAAGTTCTAAAGCTTTAAATATTCTTAAGTGGAATACACTAGCAGAAAGGCAGAAATTCCATTGCTCTTGCTTTGCCTTTAAAGCTCTAAATGATTTAATAGATTTTAATCTAGATAAGATTAAAGGAAAGGATATTCATAGTTACAATACAAGAAACAAAAACCAAACAAGATTGCCTAAACTAGAACTTCTTGGGGTCAACAAATATCTGAGTACTTAATAAAAGAATGGAATAATTTGCCTTCCACAGTCAAAGATGCATATTCATATTTAGATTTTAAGAGAAAGTATATTAAGCATATAATTTTTAATTCTGTTTAGTTAACTTTATTATTTATTTCCTACTTATTGTATATCCTAGATTTTATATTTTATATTCTTTTTATGTGTATAATTTAATCTATTATTTTTTGCTAAGTACATGTGTATCATAATGTATTGAGGACCCTTATGAAAATTTTCCTTAAAGCACTTGCTGAGAGATTAGCCATTTTGGGTATCCCAGATGTTCTGGGTGGTATGCAGACGTCTGCAGTGATTGGGACCACCCTCATTTTACAAAAGGTGCTTAGCCTCTAAGCTCCTGGATGGGGCTGAGGCTAAGTTAAATTAGCACCAGCAGTATGAATTATATCTCTACTCTGGTTGTCTGTTAAACAGAAATTCGTTATTATTATTATTGTAAGAATAAAGCTAATTTCGTAGCCATGAAACACAATTACCAAGATTTGCTAATTACATGTAACAACACTTATTCACACAAAGCTAATCGCCTAGACTTTGAACAAGGCCCGACAACACTCTACGTATTGTACTCTCACTGTCCATCAGAACGGTCTTCTGCATTTCTCCAACAATCCTTTCTACATTTTCATGATTTTCAAAAATTATTATTATTATTATATTTATATTTATATTTATATTTATATTTATTATATTATTATTATTATTTTTTTTAATTATATACATATTATATATTATATCTATCAGCTATAGTTTTTTTTTATTATTACTACTTTCATACATGTATACTTATATATACATATACCAGACTTTTCTTCTTCACTGAAAAATATCATTATTCATTTTGTAGATATTTATATAAATGCTTACTTTTTATATGATTATTTTTAATAGCGTAAATTTTTGATAGTTTTAAAAATATATTTTCAGATTTATTTTTCTTTTAAATACTGTATAAGTTATACACCTATTTACACTATTCATCCATCATGCTGCTACTATCTTTATAATTATTGTAAATATATATATATTATTATTAGGAAAATAAAAGGAGATTATTATTATTATTAAAATTTAAAAAATTATTATTATTATCATTATTATTATTATTATTATTATTATTATTATCATCTCGCTATTAGATCAACCTACTATATTTTTTGTTGTAGAAATAAGACATGGGATAGCCCTGAATTATTGAAATACTCTTTGTGTTTCAGTATTTGTAAAGTCATATGTATATATATATATATTTTTTTTCATCAATTCAAGTAGCCAGTTATAAATTGCCTATACGTAGTGAGATTTTCAACTGTATGAATCTATAAACCAATAAAATTTCCATTATTATTATCATCATCTCAATGTCTCCTTCCTCTGTTGTTGAGCCACTCTCCTGTTTGTTTTGGAGTCTTTATTGTCTTGCCACTTGTTGGGCTAGTTGTCTTGTTAGTCTTRCTGTTTTGTTTGCCTTGTTTTGTTCAATGTGCTGCTTTCATTGTTTTAAATATTTTTCTTGCTGTATCTTTCATCTTTCTGTCTTTTTCATCTCACTGTTCGGTCTTGTATATCTTGCTGTCWTACTCCTGTTATTCTGTAGATGATGATGCCACGCTAAGGTTGACCTAAAAATGAATCATTCTCCMCACAAGAAGATAATATAGTGTCTTGCTTGTTTTGKGAGATAAATAAACAGACAGAAAAGTTGCATATTTTGTTCCTTTTCTGTTTTGGGATATTGATGGACCAGGAATTGATGAAAATTCGCCTTTAAAAGTGACCAGTCAATAACCTGTCACATTGGTTCAGTTTCACAATATTGTATTTGTCCTTTGACACTAGCGAAATTCCTTTGGGTTTGAAAACATAGTAGCATTGTTGTTGGTGTAATGCTGCCAGCTTKATCATCTATCAATCATTTTATTTATCCAAGGTTGTCTCTTCGTGACTGGAATAAATAAAAACATGGCTTATGTACAATGTTAAACAAATTTACATATCACCTTTAAGAGAGAACAAATTCTGACTGCCAGCATTCTGTATATCATTATTCCTGTTTTTGCTAAAACAGCTTGCAAATCATTCAATTACTTTGAAATTCTGTTTATTAAAGCTTATTTAAGCACAATCATTTTTTTATGTGTTTGAATGATAGAAATTTAAAAAAGACACATTCTTGATAATTTCCAAAGATCAAAGTGCACTGTCCTTTTATCTTGTTTCAAATTTCTCTTAGTCCATCTATGACAGTCTCTGTAGTTGAATTGTGCCTGCTTTTGCAATTCGTTATAGAGTTTAGAGTGTCCAACTTATCCTTTCTTTATTAGCTTTAATAAATATTTCATTTAATGTTTCTGTTTAAATTTATACAGAGCATCCAGATWTGGCTTAAGAGTATCAGAGGAGCAATTGAAGTGTTCCTGTGCCCAGATGACAAAGAAAATGACCCTTGCAAACCTCTGAAAAACCTGTCACCGATAAAAGCAGTTGCATCAGTAGTRCCTTCAGGATCAAGCAATGACTTCCCTGCACCACAAATCAAACCAAGTTTATCCCCAGAAGCAAGTCCTGAGAAACTGAGCATGCTACTACACACTCATGATACTGTGCCCAATGATCTTGAAGATGACTTGGCACCGTTGTCACCATCATTAACAGATGAAGAGTATATGTTCAGTCTCAGTAATACTGAAGGTATAGCTGACCTTTTTGATGCATATGATATTTGGTAATAAAGGRGACTTCCTTCATAATGGTGAATTATATAAATGTGGTTGCCTGATATGCACCTTGATCAAAAATTTCAAAAATGTTGTAAGTGATAGTAATTGTATGATAGCCTAATCAATTTTAAATCAATTTTAAATTAATGTTTGATTCCACGTAGTCCAATGATATAGACATAGTTATTTAATAATCTTATTGCAGTAATGAAAGGATTAGACAGTAATACTTCAAATATGTTGAGATTTGGCTATATCGAACTGAATTAGAATGAAACRCAAGTATTATCCAGACAGTGTTGTGTATTAGAAACTGCACATATAGGTTGTATAGTGTGTAAATAATTTGATAATTTGGTAATAAGTACAGTCTAGTGGGCACAATAATTCTTAGCTGTATGAGTATATTACAAGTAAACAATATCACATTAAAGGAGTATAATTTTATGATTTCTGGTCTAGTTTTTTAATTGAATTGTTTTTATTCTACAATTACAAAAAAATACTAATGGCATTCAATCTGTCCATTGCAGTAAAGGTGTAGGGTTAATCAAGYAAAGGATGACCCAAGGCAGCATTTTTGGTYCTTCTGCTATGCAGTATTGTAACTCTGATATTTATAATAGTTTTATATCTTTAGGACCTGATGATCTGCACTAAGGGGTCTTTCATTTGCTAGAGCATACAGTATAGGGGATGTCAGCAAAATGTCCTGGAAGAGGGTCTCATTGGGAAAGGGGKTACATATCACAACTCCTGACTAAAMAGTTTGCTTTTTCGTGACTCACTGTTAATTTTTTGTACTACAGGCAACTCTCTCGTAAATGTCCACCTYGGGATCAGGAAAAAGTGATCAATCCAAAAGTGATGATGTGATTTTAATTTAAATTTGTCTGTAGACATGGATTTGAATCTGAATAAAAATATAGAGAATGAGAATTTGATACTTTTTTATCTAATACTTTGTCTTTGACAACAATAGAATACCTCTTGGGAACTAGAATCTATTCATTTGTCCTCCAGTTGGAATTGCATTCCCACGTCTATTAAAACTTAGAAAATGCAAATGAAGTAACGTCATACAAAATCATGAAAGGACGTTATTCTTGTTTTTACATTAGAAAAAGCATTTTCAGGTTTCAATTATTACTATGATTGATGATATGAGCTCTTCAACTAAGAACAACACAATGTAAAAATTCTCGACCACTTCCTTCGTTGACGTCACTTCATGTCCATTTTCAATTTTCAAATGTCTTTAACTCAAAAAATACAATTAACACTTATTTACTGGAACCGAGGGAAACAGTATGTTTTCCAACATTCTGTTTCCCGAGGTTTCCAGTAAATAAGTGCTTTATTATCATATCAAGTGTCAAAGAGAGCAAAAAACGTAAATAAATGAAGTGTTTTTATTAAAGATTTTGATAAAATGACTGAAAAATGGCAATACAAATAGTCAAATGTCACTAAAATCAATCAATGTAATAGAGTGAAGTCAATGAACCTGTGAAATGCATATTTGACTATTACATGTTATTACTCGATAATTCCATTGTTTTCTTTTGTGTCTATTTGACTATTACAGTTTAATTATTAACTTTTATTTCACAGGATCAATGCCTTCACTCTAACACAATGAATACAATAACTATTTGTAGACGAAATTAAATGTTTCAAAACAATTTTGGAATTCACCGTCCGTAAATGTGGCATTTTCACGACATGGAAGAGTGTTTTTCTGCGATTTTGTACTTATTGACGGTCCACAACATATTATTGACCGCTGGTGGACAGTTGCCGGGAAACAGTAAAATTTTGTGACTTTCACGTGGTACACTCTCGACCAATAAGATACTAGGAAAAGTGAACTTTGACACTTGATATATAATAATTCAATTTTCTGTGTGTGAGTCACAGAAGTGCTTGGCAGTGTGTTACCTTTCGTGCACTTTCATTAGAGAATGTTTTTCTCATCCAATTACATAACACATCAGTGAAATTTGGATGTATTGAATAACATAATAAGACTTCTGGAATTTGTTCCTGCAAAAATCCATATTTGATTCAGAATCCAAAACATTGTAACATTTTTTTGTTCAGTGACTCACATCATCTATAATTTGGATTTCTCTTGTTTTATCAGATTCAGTTTCGATTGCTGTGGATTACGAATTCCAAATATCTAGAGTCTAGATCCATAGATGAATTTTGTATCACAGGTTGAGTCAAAATCAGAAATTCACAAAACAACTTTACAGAATTACAAGTCCACCTTAAAACTTTCATTTATATTTTAAAGGCATGGGTTACAGACATTAGATGCCACTTTTGTAGGTGCAACATACGTTATGTTATTCCATTATGTTATTCCATTATGAGCTTTATACTGCTAAAATCTACAAGCTAAATTGGTCAACTAATTCAAACAAAGGGAATGGATCTTATGATTATAAAGACAAAAAAGATTATTACAATTCCATTGATACATACATGACCATTAGTCTAAGTCAAGCTAAAACAATCATAATTTATCATGATTAATATACTTTAATATAATACATTTTGTCATCCAGTTTGACCATGCAAATTCTGTGTAAAACTCTCATTTTCAAACACTGTTCAACATTACTTTTTATCACTTGGAGAATTAGTTTTAATATTTTAGAATATATTTTAGCCTGTGGCCTGAGTATATGACACGTTGCAATTCCCATCTTTGCTGATCAAGTGATTTTTAAAAAAATCAAGGAATTTCTGGTGTATGAGACAATGCAGTTGCATGAGGCAATATTATATACCACATT